CCAAACCTAACCCCTGCCTGATCTAGATAAAGAGGCTCTCTCCTGCCCGTCTCATCCCTCCCTTGTGCCAACCATGGAAGAGAGGAGGGAGAGCACAGAGGAGCGCGCCGGCGATGCGCCGATGCTCGCTGGTTGAGGCATGGTCGGCGTGTGAGTCAAGAGGATCCCTGCATCTGTGGTGGTAGGCGATCCAAGGAAGAGTAGTCGAACATGAAAGCGATGGGAGGGACAACACCCTGCTGCCTGGCTCGTCCGCCTCTTCGTGGCCGAGGACCGCGTTGGATGTGGCCGAGGGCGGCGGTGATGGAGGGAGCCGCTGGCGCTGGCCAGGCTCCCGACCGAGTCGCTGCTCCTCAGTGCCAGCCCTTTCCGCCACGCCGGATCGCTCGTCATCTTGGGGACCCCGAAGGGATGCTGCCGGTGTGGGAGGCGCCCACGACAGTGCGGGCTTGGGACCGAGCGGCGGGGGACGTTACGGGTTCCGTTCTAGGGCTAGGTCGGGAAGTCTATCGTGTTTCTGTCGGAAAATCTTGTGATCAATGGGTTTACTAAATTAATTTTGGGTCTATATTAAGGGGCACCGTCTATTCTTGTCATTCGAATTTGCATTCTTGCATCAGAAGTTCAAGAGAACTGTCATGAATAGCACAATGTCTTTCAGTTTGTAGACTGATAACTGAACATCACATCTTTTGATTTCTGTTTGGCCTCCTGGGAACGTAGACTAATTTAACACGTCATTTTTCGGTTTATTGTTCAAAATTGTTTCACTTCACATGATCGTGAACATACATGATGTGTATGTATTTTTTAATTTTCTGTCTGGTGACCTCAATTTTTATGCCTTCTACAGGTGAGTTGCTAACAAAATTCTAAATGTACATGCTCCAGGTAAATTTCTGGACATATATATTATATCTATATGTCCTTTCTATGAGGACATAAAATGCATCCCTATTTTCTATCTACCATTTTGTAACCCTTTGCAGAATGGTCTGGGGAGGTTCGCAACATTGTCTACTCATCTGATCGGAAATCTGTATATGTTGTCGATCGTGTGACTCTATGGAACTGATGGGGAGGTACCCTTCTTTGCCTGGGAGTTATATTTGGTTTAGTTCGCTGAATCTGGTTTGGGTTTGCACTAATCTTGCGTACTAAGTTTTTAGTGTATAATCTGTTTGTAGGTCCCACTATTTGATTAGTGGACGCAACTGATGGGGGCATGGAGATGATGGCAAGGCATCACGCTGTGGTGGTGGCGAGGGGGCCATCGATGAAGGCGGCGATGACAGGGGCTGCCTACAAAAGCGGTGCATGGATGGGGGAGGTGAAGTGGCGAGGGCTGGGAAGGTGGAGAACGACAATCGGGGGAGATGGAGTGGTGGCAAGATTGGACGAGCTCACCTCCGGAGTGTGTGGGCAAGATTTCCTTTTCGGGTCGGCCGGCTTTTTTTTAAAGCATGTGCATGCATGAGTTGGGGCTTATTTCCAGCGGTGAACATGCATGGGTAAAACCGTTTTCTTTTGCGAAAGGGGAGGGGAGACAAAAAACGGAGGTGGGAGGGGGAGCCGTACATGGTGGGAGGGGTGGAAACCCTGGAAGCTGGGCCTGGGATGATCAGGCTGTCATGAAATGAAGTTATTTGTTTATAGTGTCACAAGTGTGTATTGTATAATTGTTTATATATTTGTCGTATATTTTATTGAATTTAGGTGTGTGTGCAAGGTTTTCATACCTTGAAATTATGAATATTGTGAAGTGCGAGCCTCTCTCTTCTAGAAAATCATGGAATTGGCTGACACACCATTAAATAATTTGATGCCACATGCTTATTTTAAATGGCTAGAAAGCACAAGTGAAAGCTTCTTTTGATTTGGTTCCTTCATTGCATGGTTTGATCACAATTTCTCAACAATTGAGAGATAGAATGATACTCAAATTATTCAAATTCTTACTCTACAAACTAAAAGAGAATAGAACCAAACAATGGTATATTTGTGTCCATGAAGATAGCTATCCAGTTCTAGCGCATGGGTTGACATGGGTTGCAGACTGCATTTGGCATCATCTTTACCTAGGTTTTCTTTGACCCCATCCTATAACCGACCTTCTTTCGATTAACTCATCCTATCGCCCAAGTCAACACCGACCTATGAATCCTACATATATTTATAACTCCATGGCAACCTCCATATATTTTTAGAACTCCGTGGCAATGCACGGGCATTTAGCTATGAGTCACGAGTGTATTGTTGTTGCATTTCACAAAACCATCGTATATATGAAGGTTTGGTTCAATTATTTTCCTACATATAATATTTTGTTATTGAATTTCAATTCATGAGTCCCAAGTTAAATTTGGCACGCTGCTGATCTCTATATATCATCAACTACTTGAATCTTGTGTGTAACTATGAATTCAATCTTTTTATCAAAAGATATATATTCAGTGTTTGGGATTAATATCAATTGCATATAATGCTTGGTAGTGGTAATATCAAATTTGTCCATCAAATAAATCTTAAATCCTGTGTTTTTTTGCCTATCAGTTTGATAAAGTCAGAAACGTGTATGTGGTTGAACGGTATATAATAGCCAGTTGCATGGAAGATATGTATGTAATTGCTAAATGTTTAATGTATATCATATAATGTGGGTAGCTCTATCAAGAATCGCACATCAGAGTTACCAGTGCATTCTTATTTGAGAAATAGCATGCGAAGTACTCGGACATCCATGATGGTGCAAGTGTCGCTTTTTTCGGGAAACTTACTAAGGACATAGAGTTCCAGCTGTTTATAAGGAATGTATTTGGCCCTTCTTAGAAGGGAAACTAGCTTGCAAACTTTATGGTCCAACTATCATTGAAATGCCAACTGATATGTTACGAAATCTTCAACTTATATTCTTTAGGAACTTCATTTAAGTTGTACTGACCTCATGAGATTCCAATCTATGTTTCATAGTTTATACTCCTCACTATCATAAATTCATAGACTCAAAAGTTTGTTGTATATGTTTATTACTCGAGCATTGCAATGCACTGCACTCGGATGATTTTGTCCACAGAAAATTTGAAGCTCCATGATTCGGCAAGAGGATTTGTGCAAGAAATCATGTACATCTTAAAGTTTTGCATCTCAAATTTGGTACCTGTGTTGAACAGGAGGAAGCCTAGAATTCGCTTCACAGACGGAACTCGTCAATATAGAAGAGTAACACCTAGATAGAATCAAATCTGGTCAGAGAAGCCAATTGTGCCTTCTTCCCGAGTGCCAAATGTAGATGACTAATGCTGATGACACCACTCGCTTCCTTGTTTTTAAATATCACATGTGCAACACAATGATGCAAAGCGAATTTCATGAAGGGGGGGATAAGACGTATTTGTGTGGTTGAAGGAGCACATGTAAGTACATATTTTGGTGAGGGTGGAAATTGAAATGCATGCTTGGAGAAACATAGTCATAAGCATGTGATGTACAAACTCCATATAATGATATTATGATATGTGTTTTCATAGATAATTTTATTTTTCAGGGCAACGCACGGTCATTCAACTAGATTTAGCTTCCTTGGATTAGGAATAGATCTAGAAGAAGGTGACGTGGTAGGGTTTTTTTGTACCGTCCGAGACAACGAAACAATGACATGGAAGCTACATGCAAAATTAAGGGGCAATAGATTGAGAGGGTGAATGATGTATGGATAGAGAAGGTGATGAACGGCAAGTTTAATGGGAAAGGGCGGCTAGAGGGGTGTGTCATGTTTGTAAGAATAGAGAGAAGAATATGCTTGCATTTGTGTTGTGGTTGAACATTGCGTGCAATATGCTCGTTTCTGGGGAGGAAAATGAGCATTGTTTACACAATTTCATTTGTTGGCCCGTGGCAACGCACGGGCATTCTACTAGTATTTGATAACAAACCAATTGATAGACACTTGTTTTTTGCCAAATATTGGCAACCAACCAATTGGTAGCCCAACTTACCAAATGTTGGCAACTTCCAGCTTTGCCAAAAATAGGCTTGCCAACAATTGGCATGCCAAAAAATGGCTGCAAACCAATCAGCCTCTCCGTACGAGGAAAAAGGAAGCACCGGCCCATACGCCGCGACTGGACCCGACATGCGCGGGACGGGGAACATGATAGCTCCGGTCGGTGGCCGCCGTACGTACGTACGTCGCGTTTGGCTTCCGGTAAGAAGAGTCGCTGCATGCGGTGGCGCGTTTGGCTTTGCCGTCCTCCGCTCCGGTGGCCGCTAGCTGGCTCTAGCCTCTAGCCTAGGCTAGGGGATGCGAAAACGCCAGGACCGACCGACTGACTGGTTGGCCAGAAGCATGAACTAAACGGAAATTACTGCTTTTACTATATTTTTGTTGTATGAGTGTCAGCGCCACATTTTCGTAACCCAATTGGTCCTCTCGACGGTCAGAAACTTTTGAGCTGGTCATGGTCTTTCCCGGAGGCAATTTATATCATGATCAAAAAGGCACATGCGGAGTACCCCGACACGCATCAAAGAAAAACTCATCCAAAGATGTTCCACGCTTAGCCTTTTTTTGCCTTGTTTTTTCAACACTCCAAACACACGCACTGTCACTCTCTTTGTCTTTGTCGAAAAAAAGACGCTGCCACCATAATAAGTAACAAAGAAGAAAAAAAGGCACTGTCACCCTATGCAGCTTCCTTTAAGAAAAATAAAATAAAAACACAAACCCACCAGACTGGGAATGGAGTTTGGGCTTTTAACTGGTGCAATTCCTCAGGTCAGTGATGGCGGCCCAACGGTAGCACGGCCCAGGAAGAGCAACAGGACGGCGCCCCCGAAACATTTTGGCGGGACGAGGCTCCCTCCCTCCCTCCCTCCATTTCGCCCCCTCCGAAATCCCCAAACCAGAGCCGAAGAAAAAAAAGGAAATCCCCAATCCCGGAGGAGAGGAAGGGGGAAGAAAAAAAATCCAGGCCGGAACCCTAGCGCGCGCGGCGGGGGTGATGGCGCGCGGCGGCGGGCGGGCGAGGGAGGAGGAGGAGGAGCTGAGGGGCGCGAGGCGCGGGTACCGGGAGGCGGTGTCGGAGGGGAACCGGGAGGAGGAGGCGCGGTGGGCCAACGTCATCGGCGACATCCACAAGCGCCGCGGCGAGTACGTCGAGGCGCTCCGCTGGCTGCGCCTCGACTACGACGTCACCGTCAAGTACCTCCCGCAGCGCCACCTGCTCGAGTCCTGCCAGTCGCTCGGCGAGGTCCACCTCCGCCTCGGCCAATTCCCCCAGGCCCTCACCTACCAGGTACGCCCGCCCGCCCGCCACCGCTCCCGGACCGAAATCACCTGCGCTTGGCCGGACCGGATGCCCGAGCTGTCTAATTCTGATCCAAGATTTTGAGTTTTAGAATGCGAGGAGGGCTGTTGCTAGTATATCACTGTTTATATTTGAATGAACAACTCAGTGGCAAGCATCAGGCTAGGCTGTTGAAATCACTGTATTGAATTTACATCAATTGATCTGACCACGCATTTGAAATGTTTGGCACTGGTCTGCCGGGCATTCGGCTGGAGTTTTGCTTGTTTCAATGCGCCCGGTGGTGTTTTTGTAGATCGACTCATCTGTGTCAGCAGAGCTTGTGGGTGCACCTAGTGTTGAGCTGTGTAAATTTGCTGCTAGTAAAGTTCACTTTTGTTAATATGTCAAATAATAATAAATAAACTAGCACCTCACATCCAGTGACCACGGTTGCGGATGCTGCATGTAAGACCATTCTCCGAGGCACAAGTTGGTGTATTTGTGGATGCCTGCTGCTGATGAGTTTAGTCCCATATCGTTAGTTTTATTTTTTGCCGAGGCCATACTGTTAGTTTAGTTAGTTGCTTTAAACTTCCATTTGCCCTTTCAGTAACCGTACAAATAAAAAATATGACATTTCAGGTTATTTGCTCACTACACTAGTGTAATAAGGTCTGATCTCTTGTTTCATTTCTGTTGTTGTTTATTTAGGTAATGTTCACAATTACCTTTTTAACCCAAACTATCTGGTTTGGTTTCTACTACATCAAGTCATAAAAACATGTCCTTTTTCCTCCATGTTTGCATGCTTCACAGAAGAAGCACCTACAACTTGCCAAGGACACCGATAACCTTGTTGAGCAGCAGCGAGCTTGTACCCAGCTTGGGAGGACCTACCATGAAATTCTTCTAAGTTCTGAAAATGACCACAGTGCCATACGGAATGCCAAGAAGTATTTCAAAGCTGCCATGAAACTGGTAAAGGGTCTAAGAGAGAATGCCTCGTCTGGAAAATCACCCTACCTGAAGGAGCTCATTGACGCATACAATAATTTGGGAATGCTTGAACTAGATCTTGATAACTTTGAAGAAGCTGAGCAACTACTTAACCAGGGTTTGAAAATATGTGATGAAGAAGAGGTAAATCAGTATGATGATGCTCGCACTAGGCTCCATCATAATCTAGGAAATGTTTATACCGAGTTACGCAACTGGAACAAAGCCAAGGTTCATATCGAGAAGGACATAGCTATATGTAGAAACATAGACCATATTCAAGGTGAGGCAAAGGGATTTATAAATCTTGGGGAGTTGCATTCTCGGATTCAAAAGTATGACGATGCAAAACTTTGCTACGAAAAAGCCCTTCATATAACAAAGGGTTTGGAAGATGAAGATGCACTAGTTGATCAAATTCATCAGAATATTGAAACTGTTACGAAAGCAGCTGAAGTTCTTGAAGAGTTGAAGAAAGACGAGCAGAAACTGAAAAAGCTTGTCAGAGATACTTCCAATGCTCGTGGAACACCGAAGGAGAGAAAACTCCTCTGTGAGCAGCATGCATGGCTGGATAATCTTATTGAAAAGGCAAGAATGATATCTGCATGGCCAAAAGTAAGTGTTTAGTGAAGTGAGCAATATCTAACTATCTGAACTTAAATTCTATTTAGAAAAATGTTCCAGTATTGTTCCGACATTTATGCATAACTGGACATAATTTTAACGGTTTGGTTGGCTTGGCCAATCCTGTGGATGACGGTAGAGTACCTCGTTAGATGCTATCTTTAAGTCAAAATAAATATCCATGTTTTATTATAAGCCTCCTGTCAGAATTATTCTGCCCATGTTCCTGAGTCCCAACTATTCATGTTATGCTGAATTTATTTGGCTCTATTTTGTACAGGCACTTGCTGAACTGCATGTAGATTTTTACACGTTTTTGCATTGCACTAAGGACTAAAAGGGATTGATAAATTCTTGTTTATTTTCAATTGGTGAACAAAATCTTGGTTCAAATTTCAGAACTGAAGTTGAAAAACAGTTCTGACGAATCAAAGGTGAAAAAACAAAACATGCTGAGTGTGCCTCTGCATACTCCAATAACATTAATTATTAGGCGGCAGTGATGAAAATACGTAAATGTCTTAATTCTGATATAAATTATCTGCTTTCCAGCACAAGGAATTTTCGAAAGGGAAAAAGAGAGTAACAAATGAACTTCGTGAGAAGGAAAAACAGAGTGATGCTCTTTTGTCCATAGGAGAATCATACCAAAAGCTTAGAATCTTCGGCAAAGCTCGTAAATGGTACATGAAAAGCTGGAACATGTATCGATCGATTGGAAACTTAGAGGTTAGTTTATGTTCCCTTAGTTATATTTGTGTTTATGTTGGCATTCCTGCTACCTAATAATAAAACTACCTTCCTGTTTGCAAACTTCTACTTGGTGCTAACAGTTCCATATCCTGCTCACCTTGGATACATGAAATTTCAGGGGCAAGCATTGGCAAAAGTGAACATTGGTAATGTTCTTGATTCTTGTGGTGACTGGGCTGGTGCGTTGCAAGCTTTTGAAGAAGGCTACAGGCAATATCTCCGTGCCTTCTTATCTACAATAATTATTCAAACACACTCGCAATCTTGCAAAGTAGAAATATGGCGGATTAAATTTTAGTGGTTACAAAGAGCACATAGGTTATGACATGGGTGGCTTATCTACGAACATGTTGTTTTGATCCACTGAAACACCCTATTGCTGAATATATGAACAATGACACCGTTTTGAAAGCCTGTTAAGAATATGGAGTGCCAGTATTCTGTGGCAGCCATATATCCTAATTGAGGCTGTGCATGAGTTTTGTACAATGTCCAACACATGTCAGACAACTCAACCCTTTTGCATACATCGAAGATGCTGAGCATTCAAATACATACTCCTACATAAGGTATTGTAATCGTGTAGTTTGCTTTGAGAAAATGACTTGTAGTGACAGACCTACAAGGGCACCACACAACAATTTTGAAATCTTATTATTAACATAACTGGCCAGAATCGTGGACCATTATAGACTAATATAATACGTCCTGTAGCATGTGTTGTATAAAATCCCAAGGAAGTTTAAACGTGTGCCTTTTATCTGTATAGCTACTTAGCTAGGGTACTGTGGTAATTATTATTTTCAATGCCATACTGTTGTTCTAGTTTTGTGCCATGTTGTTCTCTTGTGTATGTGTACATGTGATCTATTATCTATCTGGTATATGTTCTGGTAAGTCTGGAAATGCATGTGGTCATCATTGCATTTTGCCTCCACCTATAGATTCTGATACTTGCATTTCAATGATATTCAGAATTGCTGTGGAAGGGAATCTGCCAAATGTGCAACTTTCTGCCCTCGAGAACATGCATTACAGTCACATGGTCAGATTTGATAGTGTAGAAGATGCCAAGTAAGTTACGTACAGATGTTGGATAGAAGAAAGCTAATTTATCCAGACCTGTCATAAAATGGATTTACTTTTTCTTCAGGCAGGTACATCAAAAAATAGATAACTTGAAGCAGATATTGAATCAGCACGGATTAAGGGATACTGTAAGTGATTATTGCTCGGAAACTGAATCTGAAGGTGGTGATGCATCTGATAAAATGCTTGATCAAGAGGACAGTGATGGGCATGCTGCAAATGCATGTTCTGAGGAACCTGATGATCATGTTACTCTTGCTTCACTGGTTCATAGAAGTAGGAGCTCATCCAATACAAAGGCATCCAAGATACATAGCATCCAGAAGAAGGTTGATAGATCATGTCATATGGATGAGCACACTAGAGAAGTTTTAAGTAAATCATGCAGTAACCAGTCTGGCAAAAGACGTGTCCGTGTGTTTATATCAGACGATGAAGCTGATGAGAGTCCTGAAATTGATCAATCAAAAAAGAAGCGAACTAATCAAACAGATAGTCTGTCTACATCAGGTGCATGACTTATGAACATTGTACACCTTTAGTTTTTGGAATGCCTGGTAACTGTCTCCTAATTATTTGCATACATTTTTCTATGACCAACAGAGGACATAGCAAATGGAACAAACAACAGGAATCAGGTTATACAAAGCTTATCTCTTGAGATTTATATAATTTTACATTCTTGATATGTTGAGAGATATTATTCTTACATATGTTCCTTACCATGTATCCCATCAGATGTTGGTAAAAACATAAAGAGATGGTGATTGTTTTTATTTCTTTTGAGCGATAACTAGTACTCATCTGCAGGTAGACCCTACTGAACCCAGGGATGTGTACAGTATCTGCACACCCTGCCCTGCTGAGGAAAGTATATGCTCATTCAAATCAAGTAGCCCCACTGGTCATGGTAATGATGGACTGGAAATAGGAGCTTCTAGTGGAGGAAAGGTGTCTTCATCCAAGCCAGCAGCAAGTGGTTCCAGAATTTGTACTCCTGCATCTCATAGTCAACCACATGGTCAAAATGCTGTCGGCCTCCTATCCACAGATGCTGATCATGTAAGTATTATTGCAAATTCAGTCTTTCCAGGATCGCTGAAAAGCATATGGCAATTGTGCTTTTCGTTGCTCTATCCTTTTTTTTTTTACTTTTCCATAATGCCTTAGTCAGCTGGTAACTTCACCACTTTAGATGTCATTGAGTGGTGAAATACATTAGAAGGGATCCATATGTCAAATGGAACGTTTATTTTCTGACATCCAGCGTTAACTTTTGAATGTCCATATGTTTGTACTTCCCCTTTTCTGTTTGTTGCATGAACCAGACACTCAGTGTTGGAGCTGTGTGCAAGTAAAACAAGGCCATGGCCAGCCCAGCCCAGGAAGAAATCAGTGAAGTGTGAGCAAAATTGGGCCATGTGAGAACATTTTGGGCTTTCCTTTAGACTGGCCTGCCCAGCATATCTGTAGCTCCGCCAGTGTAGACACTCAATGCAAGTTAAACTTGTCTTAAGCTACTATTTGCAGAACAATTAGAAATATCAATCATAGGGCAGGCAGTTGACATGTGAACCTACCCTTGAATGACACTACTCTCGATGTGTATCAGTGCTGTACAGTGCCTACATGTCAAAACACTTTGTTGTTGAAGCGAGCTGTATCCCATATTCACATTGGAGCTTATCTAGGATTAGTTTTCAGATCATCTGAAACATTCCACTTGTGTCGATTCGAAATCTAGAAATGATCTAGATGTAGTTCTTAGCGCCCTTACTTGCGAGTACAACAACTGCTCCAATTATGGATATTCGTTGTGGTCTGTGATTTAAATTATTAAATATGATGAGATCCTTAATTTGCAGCAACATTTGGCGTTCAGAATTGGTCAGCATCTGGTGTATTTGGATGTAAATGCTTGCATATGTGAGGCTGCTTTTAACATTGAGTCTCTTAAAGTTGAAGTGGCATGTGTATACTACCTTCAGATTCCTGATGAAAAGAGCTCCAAAGGTTTGCCCTTGTTTTCTAAATTTTGACAAGTCATGCAGTATGCCCATTAAGGTTTTTTTTAACAATATTTTCTTTGATGGGAATTGTATTCAATCTTCTATGCCAGTGGCTTCGCCTTTAATATTCTCATTATGAAAATATTGGAGGTAGAGGGAGGGAGGTGAACTTGAGAAGCCATCTCCATAACTTTTACCATTACTCTTATCTAGTTATCTTGTGTTGTTGTTGAAGAAATATAGAATGTCCTTCTGTGGCGATGCATTCTTTGGTTCTTCCTTCAGCTGTTATATGCATATGTTGTGATATTTGGCCCATTTGTCCAGTAATACATATCTGATTGTTCAGTTCTTGAACTGTATCAACTGTTCAGCTTATCTGGAAATACAGTTATTGTTCCCTAGTAACATGTTTTCCAGTACGTGAGAATAAACTCTGTGTATACCATGTCTTAGCTATTTATCCAAGATTCATGTATGTGCCTAATATGTTACAGGAGACAGTTTGCGGTGGGTTAGTTCTTGTGGTTCTTATGGTGTCATATTTGCTAGGGAACAACCTCTTGTTTCTTTCTTTTCTGTTGGAACTTACGTTTATCTTACTTTGTAGGCTTGTTGCCTATTATTGGGGAGCTCAAGTGTTGTGGGAATGTACTGGATGGTGCAGAATCAATTGATTATATTGGTCAACTTGCTTCTGAACAGAAGTGCATTGATGCTTTTGTTGATGGTATGGGTTCAGCATACTCAACTTTGTTCATAGAACTGCTGTTGTTGCATGAGTCTTATGTCTCTAGGACATATGAGAACCATTTTGATTTTGGCATCCTTTTTGTTGGCGGTGAATATGCATTAAATATTTAAGGGACACTGATTTGATGATTGAAGTAAACTGAGCACAATACATTATGGTTGCTTGGTTCTATATTCTTCGTGCTAATAGCCTAAAATAGCAGGGAATGTGAAATTACTGAATGTATTTTTCTGTATGCTAAATAATCTGAATTGTCAAATACAACAATACTGCTTATTTAAAGTCCAGAAGTCTCCCTCACAATTTGCACAAAGTTTTAAAATGCATCTGTAGTTGTGCTGCACTAGCTCATAGGAGTTTAAATTTTATACAATGTACTGTTATGCTGGTTATGCTACTGGTTAAATTCTAATCTAGCAAGAAATGACACCTACCTAACTCCAAGTTTCTGATTGCAATCTCAGCAGCATTCAATCTAGGTTTGTTTCTTATGACACGTGGGTCTGTCATTGACACATGTAAAGGGCTGATGAGTTAAACCCTTTTTGTTAGGGAAAGGGTTTGGTTCACTGTATGAAGTTTTGATCTCTTCTGCTTGAAAGAAAGTGTTTGATTAAATTCATCTACTTGCTTTACTTTATATTGTGTTTTTTCAATGCTGAAGCAAGACTTGTGTTGGTCTCATTGTCCTCACCTGTGCTCTCTATACGGACAAATTTCACTCAACACCTATACCTGTGTTCTCATGTATATTTTTTTGTGCTGCATGCCGACCTATTCTATTAAAAGTCTAATGTCCATATTTATTATGAAGATTGGGTGCCAAAGCGGTTGATGAAATTGTACATCGATTTCTGCACAAAGTTGTCAGAAGCACCAAATAAGAAGCTATTGAAAAAATTGTATAATCTTGAAGTAAGTTTGTTGGATTTATATTACTTGTTTTCATTTATAATTTCGTAAATCAGGTCTGACTAACTTGTCAAAGCTAAATGTTTTACTGGCCTTCTGTTTCCCAACAACAGGTCTCTGAAGATGAAATCATTCTGTCTGATTGTGGACTGCAAGATTTGTCGATTTCACCTCTTCTTGAAGCCCTAAGATCACATAAAACAATAGCCATGTTGGATCTTTCTCATAACATGCTAGGTATCATTTTTCAGTATCTCTGCTTATTTCCAGTATGTGTTTAATTTAAGCATCATGAGTTTGGCAGAAAGACAGTTATAGACTTAATAGGTAAATGGAAAGCGCCTTTAGCTCTGTGACACAGAGTGTGCTGCATTAGTCACCTGTACACCCTAGACTACCCTTAAAGGATCATCGTAGACTGATTAAGCATTGTGTATGAATTGCAGGAAATGAAACAATTGAAAGCCTTCAACAAATATTTGCTTCGTCATCCCAAACATATGGTGGCTTGACACTGGATTTACATTGCAATCGATTTGGTCCAACTGCTTTATTTCAGGTGTTTTTTCCTATTACAAAAACCTGCATATCAAAGTGGAATGACAGTTAGTTCTGAATTCATATTTGGTCCATAATTTACTGATGAACAGATCTGTGAGTGTGCTGTTATGACTGAACGACTGGAAGTACTTAATCTGGCTGGGAATCGCCTCACAGATGGTTGCAGCTCTTATCTTTTCACAATCCTACAAAAGTGCAAAGGTATGTGTGAGTCTCAATACCCAGTATTAAGTGCGTTATATGTTTAGGGGGCTGCAGAAACAATAGGCTTTTTGTGTTTATCTGCAACAGCAGACCTTTGTTTGCACCTTTGGGAGTTTTTGCCATCTTGTTTTTTCTCAGTGTACACCACTACTTTCCTCTTATAGAATGCATGTTTTGTTTCCACTTGTGACAGCACTTTTTAGCTTGGATGTTGAGCAGTGTTCTATCACATCAAGAACAGTTCAGAAAATGGCAGATGCACTACATGAAGGCTCGGTACTTTCACATCTCTCGATAGGTACATTGTTGCCTCTGTTGTATATAACTAGCCATCTTCATGTATAAACGCTCGGCATCTTCAAAATTCCATACCTCTGACAGGAAAAAACAATCCAATTTCTGGCAACACAATGCTTAACCTTCTCTCCAAACTGGCTTCTTTGAAAAGGTTGGCAGACATTGTTCCATCACTGTTGACAGCTATGAGTTGTGGTGAAATAATGAACCAACTATGGATTTGATCACTGCAGGTTTTCACAACTAAGCTTAACTGGTATAAAACTGAACAAGTTAATGGTTGATAAACTGTGTCTACTTGCACAATCCTTGAGTCTATCTGGATTTCTGCTAGGTGGAACTTCCATTGAACCTGTGAGTCTGTTTTCCATATATGGTCAGTATTTACAGCTTGTAGCGAACATGATGCCTTATGGATGAATTTCTTTCTGCAGGGAGGAACAATTAGGCTCACCGAGGCATTATCTAGTGCGTCCCAAGAATTGATGAGGTTGGATTTATCCAACTGCGGGCTCACAACTCCTGAATTCTCACAGATCTGTACAAATCTTTCTAGAGTTAATATTCTTGACTTGAATCTCGGAGGAAATTCCATTAACATGGAGGTTTGCTTCCTATCCTCAGATAATTTGGTCTACGTCATTTTGGTCCCCATGATCCTTCCTATCCTCAGATATTTTCTAGAGTTAATATTCTTGACTTGAATCTCGGAGGAAATTCCATTAATATTCTTGACTTGAATCTCGGAGGAAATTCCATTAACAATGCAGGGATGTGATGCTGTTGGGGCAATACTTGCAAATCCCCAGTGCAGCCTTAGATCTCTCACTCTCGACAGATGCAATCTTGGGCTTGGTGGCATTACTCGAATTATTCAGGCACTAGCAGGCGAGGAACAGAACATTACATATTATACTTAAAACAACGCCTTCTGCGTCAAACTCACAATCTTCTGGTCCTTCCAGGGAATGATCAACTGGAGGAGCTGAGCGTGGCCGAGAATGCAAACCTGGCACTGGAGAGAACACTGCACTTCGACGAGGACATGCAGGATGTATCGACAGGCACCGAGCACAGACACGGCCACAACGCCGAAGCAGGCGACAATGTAGCTCCAGAAAACGTCGATCTGGAGAAGATGGTGGTGGCGGACAGTGAGGACGAAGCAGCAAACGAGGACCGACGTACAGTTTCTGGTCCTGCCAGGAGCTGCGCGAGCTCCTGCCAGCGAAACTCCTATTCCGGCTGCCAGTTTGTCCAGGAGCTCGCGGAGGCCCTCGTCTCGGCGAAGCAACTGAGGGTGCTCGACCTCAGCCGGAACGGGCTGTCAGAGGAGGCCATCCAGTCGCTGTACTCTGCCTGGGAGTCGGGCCCGAGAGGTGACGGGGTGGCCCGGAAGCATGTGGGCAAGGAGGTGGTGCATTTCTCAGTGGATGGGGTGGCGTGCTGCGGGCTTAAGCCCTGCTGCAGAAGGGACTTGCAGATATGAACATGGATTGGCCGTCCAGTCAGTCAGATCAGTCGTTCCCAGGATCATATATTTGTATGGGCTATTATTACTAACGGTAACCAGGGCCTGTTAGTTTAATGTCGTTATTAACCGAGATAGGTCTGCAGGGTTAAATTATGCTGGTTTGCTGGAATATCACGAATGTAGATAAAACTTGTATGAGAAACAAACATTAGCAAGAGAATATTATGAATATTAACTTTCATAAAAGTGAATTGTTTTGTTTTAAAGAAGCCACTGAGGTGGCGGCTGATTGCGCGCTGACTTGTTTTCTTGTGTGAAAGCCATATCTCCATTAAATATTTGAGAATTTTGATACATTATCGACGTTTGCCTAATCTGGAGTGAAAACATGTGAAGGAGCGCTCGTTGGAATAGCAGTTGAAAAAGAAAGTTGCTCTTTGTTGAATTCTTGTGACAAATATGATTCTTTATATGTTTTTTTTCATCTTTAAAAAGTGGTGTTGCAAAGGCTGAATTATTTAAGATTTAAATTCTTTTGACAAGGAGATAGTGAAAAGAAAAAATACATGCTGATCACATGAAGCGTGGTTTGTAGGTCGAAAGACCACTGTAGCCTTGTCATCATGACCTGCGGTCACAAAACAAACAAAGTTGAGTTTTTCTCATCCCGTTTCCTTTACAGCCGTATTCTGATTCCATTACCATTACAGTTTCTGAACCAAACACCTCTATATAACTAACTAACTAATACTTGTGCACAAAGTTCTATCAGTTTATTGCCTTCGAGTATACTACAGAAAGCAGCTTGCCATTCAAAGAAAGATAAATTGTGCCGGCAGTGGATTGAGATGCCATGTGTCCATCTTTGAGTGTTCTAGTGATGGAGACTACTTATCATAACCAGCAGGATATGTGGTTCAATGTGAAGATGCGCATATAATCGAGGCCATAGTGTAAGAACCAAGATTCATTGAACATTGAAACAAGGGTACAGAGAAATGGCTCAGGCGTCAGGCCTCAAAGAACTGACAGGTTCAAGCTTTTCTGCGGCTGCTTATACTGTAGTGCGAGTCAGGGCCGGGCCTAGCATCTTAGAGGCCCTTGTGCGAACTTCTGAACTCCACCGGCCATGGGCTCTCGCCTCGCCATGTTGTATCCCTTAAAAAAACCAATAATGTTGTGGCAGGTGTGTAGTGGCTGCGACCCGTCGGAAGAACCGACAACGAGATTCATCTAACGAGAAAAATCATTGGTTGCACGGTGCCTAATTAGTGGAGTATTGCATGCTTTTTTTAGCTTGAATCGGAGTATTGCATGATGCATCATGGGGCCTAATTAAAGGAGTGTTGCATGCTTTTTAATTTTGTGGGAAGGAGTATTGCATGCTACGACTCATACTTGCCAAACTAAATGGGATTTTTGGCTGCATGGAATGGATACACATCTCACGCTGCATAGATCCGGCATTAATTGAGATCGATAATCAAGGATATTAGCAGATTGGCTGATTTCATGGCCAAAATCTTCGCCGCAGAGTTAATTCCTAGCTTGGTCGTGCAGCGGGAGTAGGTGACTGGCTGAATGGTTGTCTCTTGGCTGGTCTTTTTTACTTTCTCTATCTTTTCTTCTTCCTAATATGCTTATATATCTATTAGAGACATGCAAACGGATGGGCCCCTGCTTGGGCTGGGCCCTAGGCGGCCGCACTCCTCGCCATGCCCCAGGGCCGGCCCTGGTGCGACTCATATGATGCAGATGAGATATCCTGCCTAACAGAGTACAACCTGAACACAATTACACAAAGCTTGCACATGAACTTGCAGCAAAAGGGATGCTTTTCACCGCAGCATCAGAAAAAACATGCATGGTCCCAAGACAGCTGACTTAAAAGATTGTTCATCGAAAGATATCAGGATATCATATCAAACTGTAGAAAGATGGAATAAAATCTATCCTGGATTATGGTGAATTGGTGATAAGCAGCCCTGCTCTGTAAGACCAAATGAGATGAGGACCACTAGCAATACAGAGCCTTTATAAATGTAATGTGTCATAAATTGCATTAAATAACAACATTGATAATTCCCAATGATTAGATGACCTATCTTGCCTAATCACAATGGTTAGTAGTTTCTTGATCATTAACTTTGTTTAGTTGTCACATGGAGGAGATAGTGACACTTTATGCATGTGCACCGACAAACATGTATTATAGTCTCATTTGGTACTTATAACGTTGTCAGTTGAAAAAAGAAAACAAATATAACATTTCTTGGAGAGAATTCCTTATTTGACACTACCTTAAAATGTGGTTCCCTATTTGGCCCTGAAGAAATTTTTCTTCCCTGTTTGACATCTGCTCTAAATTTCTTTCCCAATATGACACTCTAGTGTTTTGTTCACTAACGGTGTTAAAGACAGACGTGAAAAGACCCTTTTACCCCTTGTGCATAAGGTGACCAAAAATCTGTACATGACAATATCTACAATTATGTTACACTAGTCATCAACCCATGCACACGCACGGGCTAGCTATTTTGAGGAACACGTGGATGTTAAGAATATGAAATAGTTTTCAAAACTTTGTAAACTTTTCAAAAAAAATGAATATAAGGAGATTTATATAAATATATATTTGAATATTACTACATCTTTTCTTTACATTTGAATATTGTAACATCTAATAGTCTGTGTAGACACACTTATGATTTGAAGTGGGGAGAATGTGATTATTAAATCTAATGACTCTCTTTGTCTTATCAGAAAACTTTGTGAAGTTATATGATTGGAGCATAAAAAATAGCATGCTATGGATCTACACGAAACTTGCAAAGATGGTGAGGATAGTCTGAAGATAAGCTCAACATACGAAACTTGTTACTTGAGCTGAATGTGGCAAATCTTCAGTTCTGCACTATAAGTTGTTTTGTCAAGTGTACATAAGAGATTATCAGAGAAAGTGCATGAAAAAAAGTTAAAGTGGAAATTATATAAATCCGAAGGCTATGCATGTTACTTCTCATAGCTTCCATGGCCAGCCCAGAAATATAGAGAAATGAAATCCCGTCTACAAGCTCCATAGCGGGTATTTGTATACGTGCATGTACATAGTAGAACTCAACCATATTTAACACGCCACGGCCAGTCCAGACTATACTGGTGCATGCATGCATGCATTAGTCAAGTATTTGGGTATTTGGAGAAGTATAATACCACCGGCCAGGGTGCCGGTATACGGGTATTTGGAACTGAGGCGCGGACGTTTAGATATATGTACGAGTCGATGAGATGTCAACGGGAACTGCTCCGGACCTCTACATCTGCAAGGTTAGCTAGCTACATGATCAAATACGTAGACTGATGTGCGTATGTAATCGGCCAGTATACGTGTGTGCGAACCGGGCAATCAAGTGTGTGCATGCATGTAGGAATAACTCTAAATGTATGTGTAACTTGCACTGAAAAAAATTGTAACTGGACTTAGCTTTCTCAAAGTGACAAGCACAAAAACACGTCAAACAATAGAGACTAAAGGGACTAGATCGGGATCGGGATATTTTCTTTTGTTCGATGTGGGCTAGCGACTAGCATAGGGGTATTTTGGTCCATCCAATTTTTTTGACGAAATAGTCTAACGAAATCGACAACAATGTCACGCAAGGAAAGAAATTTAGACTACATGTCAAATAGGGAAGAAAAGTTTCTTCAGGGTCAAATAAGGAACCACATTTTAAGGTAGTGTCAAACAGTGGCGAATCTTGGAGGAAAATCAAGGGCAGGCTCAAAGTCAATGGCGTGAAGAAAAAGCCACCAAGTCTCAATTCTTTTGTTCAAAGAAGGCTAGAATTTACAATAATACTATTAGGAACATGTACTATTAACTATTAATTTCCTTTTTTCATTGCTGGAGAACAGGCTCAAGCCTATTAAAGACTGCCCAGTTCATTCGCCACTGGTGTCAAATAAGGAATTTTCTCCATTTCTTGTGTTGGCACTTCACTTTCATTTCCTAATCTTGCCAAGCAGAGTCTATCAGTGCTGTGGGGATGATTTGTTTTGATCCATCAGATCAAATCCTACGGGTGACAGAATCGACAACTCAACTATGTTCTTTCTTTGAACAACATGTTTTCAGATTTGCCCACTGCTACAATTTTATTTGTCACAGGAATGGAAACCACTATGCTGCGGTGGCGCGTCCACTATGCTGCCTGGTGGCACATTGCGACCTCGGCCGTCAGTTCCACGGCGGGAGGTGACCGCCGAGACCAGCCGCGATGGTGGAGTTAGCCTGCTGGTGCGCGACCCGACTTCGGGCCAGTTTTTTTGATGGCTTCCAGAATAAGCTGTAATAAGCTGTCTCCTACCTAGCTTATTCTAGAAGCTGTACCAAACTTATTTTTTTAGAAGCCTAGTAGTTAAAACTTGACTAGTAGGCTTTTAAAAAGAAAATTTTGGTTGGACTTCTAGAATAAGCTAGGTAGGGGGCAGCTTATTCTGGAAGCCCAAAAAAGCTAGCAAAAGAACTGGCCCTTCGGCGGCCCTACTGCCGGCACAAGGTAACAGCCGCCGCACTTGGTCGCAGCCTCACGGGCATCCCGTCGAACGGCAGGGGTGGGCTGTGTCCCGTGCGTGACCAGGGCCAGGAAGTTAGAGCATCTTCAGCCGCGCCCCCAACAGACCCTCTCAAGACTGTTTTTTAATGTTGATGTCGAAAAATCAGCCCAGTCGCGCTCCTAAGAGTTTGTTTATCGCCGGATTGGACCGAAATTGGCGCCGGCGCACCCAACCCGAACCCGGCGCGCTTGGGGGCGCCCGGGGGCGCCGGCGCGAACGTTTTGCGCAAAAGAGTGACGGGACCGGCGCGTCAGTGAGACGAAGGCTGGTCGTCCTCATCATCTTGGTTTTCCCGCGGGAAATCAATGCCAAAGCTGCCGTCGGCCAGCCTGCCATTGATTCACGGGCGATGAAGTGCGGCGACGCCGCCCCGCCTTCCGCCACGCGTTCGCACGCGG